TATATATATATAATAGCAATAATGTCACAAGCTACTAACTTTATATTATTGAAGTAAAAAAAAATTACTTAAATAAGGTAAATTTAGTAGCTAATTAAAATAATATAAATTATTTAAAATAGCATAATAAATAAATTAAATTTCGAATAATGTGAATCCCATATTTATTTTAGGTTTTTCATTTTAGAAGAGTCGATGTCAAGACAAATAACAAATTAATTGATATCGAGGTGAGTACTCATACTTTTAACTAATAATAATAATTTATTTTTTCTTAACTATTTTGCAGTTAATGACACTTGCACATATTTTATTCTGATTGAGACATTTTTTTCTTTATCAGTCATATTGTTGTGAAAATTTGTAGCCACTTGCTCTCATGTATTTGATGTATGTTTTATATAGTATGTTGAATTAAATGTCATAAATATATGAATGATATGTTTATGTTGGTTGTTTGTATGTGCATGATTGACTATAATGAAGTTATCTCTTGATGATATTAATGAAGAAACACTAAGGTACCCGTGTACGTATATTGAAAAGAATATTGATATTGACGTGTCTTAATTGACATTATTTTTTGACGGTGTTCCTTTGATAGTTGTGTAAATATAAAATGATATTGACATGATATTGATAGAGTAAGGTTTTTTGAATAACATCAAATATTGTATTAAAAATGATCTTAATTTACTAGAATTAAATGAAAATATGACACTAAATAGGACGCAATGGAGAAAAAGGATTCATGTAGCCGACCCCACGTAGTGGGATTAAGGCTTTGTTGTTGTTGTATCAAATATTTTTATTGATTTATTAAAAACTTGACTGACATGTTTATTGCTTCACTTTTTTTTGTATTACTGTGGTTTATGAGTATGAGTACTCACTGACATTGTTTAGCTTATTCTTGTTTTAAATTAATATTTTAGGTTTAAGTGATTTAAAAGATGAGTGATAGAAGATGAAATGTTTATAGAAGACGCGGACAACCAGCAGCGAGGTAAACTTATATATACTGCTGTAATTTAATTTGATAATCGACTTTCATTTATTAATTTGTAAATGAATATAGAAAATTTAGTTCCCATCATCCGATCGTCTATTTCCACCTTGATTAATTCTGGTTCGAGTCGTGACAAGAAATACCTTTGAAAGTTACTTTCTTGAGGTTTTATTGCACTCAACAGTGGGCATGATAATCATTTTTTTTCTTCTTTTGCATTCTAGTATCTCTATAAATAGTGCAAAGAAAATTCAAAAATTTTTATTGGATTTAAGTTTTAACAATATTCATTTGAATTTTAGTGAAAGAGCACAGTCGAAAGACAAGTAATAGATTTGGCATTCAATTATATTAAATCGATTTCCAATAAAATATGTTTGAATAGAAAGTTTTGGTGATGTATCCCTAGCAATAATAGTATGACAATTTATGATTAATAGATTTAAAAAATAGAATTATCCTCTTTATCCCCAAAAAATCGAAGTGCTTAGGTTAAAATGAACTGAAAGTGGTGTTCCTTATGGATTTACTCTAGGATGCTTGGCTAAATAATTAGCCGACAAGCTGTGATGTTAAATATTGATGTGAGAACACCAAAGGGAAGGAGGTAAATTGAGTGTGCAATATATATTTAAAATTTATTTTGAAACTTTTTCATTTCAAGCCCATAAAAATATTAATGGGATGTGATTATGAAGAATCCAATTCTTACAACAACAACAACAAGCTTTTATCCCACTAAGTGGGGTCGGTACATGAATCCTTTTTCTCCATGTGTCCTATTGAGTGTTATATTTTCATTTAATTCTAATAGATTAAGATCATTTTTTATTCAATTTGCCTAAGTCTTTTTAGGTCTACTCATGCCTTTCTTAACATAACGAATCTGAAACATCTACTCTCCTAACAAGATCATCAGATGGTCGGCATTTAATGTGACCAAACCATCTAAGTCAACTCTCTACTACTGGAGCTACACCAACCTTATCATGGTTATATTCATTTCATATTTTGTCTCTAAGTGTCAATCCACTCATCCAACTAAACAATCACATCTCAACAACACTTAACTCTGTTTTATGCTTTTCTTTTAAAAGCCAACATTCTGTGCCATAGAGCACTGCAAGTCTCACCACCATCTTATAAATAAAATTTTATGTAGGGACTGTTGACAAGATGAACGAGCTAGTAATGTTGTAATTTAAACGATCTCACTCAACTAGACTATCACATATACTTGTAAGCATGATATGCAACCTACATCAGTGATAGAAGTTCCACAGAAGCTGTGTGATGGTGATGAACAGATTTCCAGATGAGGGATTCTTGAAGTTTCTGGTACAAATAAGATGATTACTCGACACCTTAGCATATAAGCATCCACACAGATCATTATATAAACCGATAGATAAGCTCAAATAACTAAATCTATGGTAGAAAAGTTAGTAGAAATAATGATTTTTATACCTGAACTATGTGCATGCCTAAGTTTCTTTGCTTTGACTTCAGCTGGTGAGGGCTTTTGATCCTCTTCTAACGACAGTCAATGGTGGAGGCCAACACTAAGGGAAGCTGAAGAGTTGAGAGGGAGTGGCACTGGCTTTGACTAGCATTTTTTTGGCTGAATTTTGATAAAAGAACATTGTTCTTTTGTTTTAATATATATAATTTTTATTTCATTTATATTTTTATTTTATTTCCTTTTGGATGTACAGTTACAAAAGAGAGACAAAATGGTGGATGTGAGAGTTTAAGAATGTGAACATATTGGAAAGTATTGTGTATTGATTCCTAATCTTAGTGATAACCTCATCATTCTGTGGTAATGTTAACATAAACTCATGTAAGATAAATTGGGTGAAGCTTGGTGCCTTAGTATAATGCTGGGTATCTTCGTGATTGATTTTTTGCATCACCATATTTCTCCAAGTTGGACTTCTGCATCAAAGCTGCGAATATTCCCCAACCATTGAGGCATAGCTGCTACTCTGATAATGCAAGCATCTAAAGAGACATCTGATGCCTAAAATCTGCAACGCTTGTTAAATTTTCTAAATATGAGCATTTTACATCCATCCGTACTTTTTTGAATGTACACATCATTTCTCATGACAGCATAAAATATATTATAGCAACTATGTTTTGATATAGATTTGAACAAAGTTTTATTATAGCTTGTGAACTAATTTGAAAAGGCAGAAGAGTGGCAAAGCCGTCTCTTTTTTACTTTTTCCATGAGCCTAAAGATATTTTATGCAGATCTATAGCTGCTACATTGAAATGCAATTGTTATTTCAATGAGCCCCTTCTATATTTTTATTGTTAAATTTTTCCCCTTTTGGATAATATAACTTGCTGTTTTTGTCATGACCATAGTGAGCTTTTCCTTTCTCGTGCGCTGAGCAACTTCATTCTTTTGAAGGTTCACACAGTCAACAGCAGCGGTAGAAGAGAAATCAGTAATAATAGGCGAAAGGAATAGAGTTGCAGCAGAGGCACTTCAGAAAGCAATAGACAGCGGGCATAAGCGGATAGCCGTCCTTTATGGAGGTGGACATATGCCTGATTTTGGAAGACGGCTTCGCGAAGAGTTCAACATGATGCCCTCTCAGGTTCGGTGGATAACTGCCTGGTCTATAACAAAGAGGAAGCTTGACATCCAATCTCTACCATTCCTGAGGACATTGGCTGAACTCTCTGGCTGGCCTCTCAACAGGTACCAGACACTGGCCTTGTTTATTTTTTCATCTATACTTGCCGTGGATCTCTGGTTTTGGGAGCTTTTTTTTGGTACTGTTGTGAATTGGGCATCATGGGCTGCTGCAGAGGTAAACATACTGACAAATAACATATGGGGTATGTGATTTATAATGCTAGAAAACTATTTATTTATCAAGATGTATTATATATTGATGATTATGCTCATATTCAATTGTCAATATGTATAATTCTATGTTAATTTGTAGTTTGATAAGTAGGTTTTACCTGGTATCTGGATTCTTTAGATAAAGGCTTGTTTGCTGCGATGATTAAATTGTCTACCCCAGTTTTATGTACTGAAGAGCAGGATTAATGATCACATAGTCTTCCCTTGGAAATTATTAGCGTGCTTAATGAGTTAAAGCTTAACTAGACGCTTGAATTGGAAGTACTGTGCTCATAATAATAATAATAATAATAATAATAAACAAAGCAGACCCTTGTCAAGAAAAAAACAAATCTGATAGCTGTTTTTGCGAAGTTGTGCCAAAAAAAAAGGAAGTTCTAGGGTAGAATTTGGCATGATTATGTCGTCTTATTGAAATTTTCTATAGAACAAATGGTTATTAAGTTGCTTATAGTCCATTTTAGTTTTTGTTTTATGGAAAATGCTGGAGGTTTGTCGAGGGCCTTCTGTAACTTCGAACCATGTAACTGACATGGGATGGAATAGGAATAAAATTTATGAAAGAGTAGACAGCAAGCCTGAGCAGATTAAGTTATATTATCTAGTCTGATTAGTGAGAAATAAAACTCTTAAACAAGGCATGTGATTAACATTTCAAACTGGACGCATTTAACTCTAAAATTTATGCTTCTGATCTGATATACACTCATTGTATATTTCCATCCAGTGTGCTAGTTAAGAAGGCCAAAAACTAAAAAAAAAAGTTTCTTTGTAATTAAGCTAGAAGAAATATTTCTCAACCGTATATTATACTGTGTTTTATAATCATAGCTGACAGGTATTCAATAGGAACATTAGCCTCTTGGACAGATGAAAGATTTGAATAATTTATGTTTTTATTTTTCTTATTGTAAATCACTGAAAATACCTCTCTCATGAAGAATGATATTAAGTGCAAATATCACTTGAAACATAAATATGAAGTCATTAAAATCATTGAGAAATTGGATGCTCTTTAAGGGAAGAATTGTATGATCTTTTGCTATAATTCTTGGATACTGAAAGTCATCCAAATGGAAAGTCCAGGAAATATATCCAAAGAGGATATGAAGGGAAATCCGTACTTAGAAATGAAGATTCAAAAAATAAGTTAACTTTCAAAGAAAATAAAGGGAAGTGCACTCTCTCTTTTTTTTTTGGGATGATTTATATATGCCACACAATTCTTATGTATTTTCATATCTATCACCTAAACTTTGATATTTATATTAATACTACTTTATCTATACATGAACAGTTGTATTTACTTTCTTAAAGTTAATGATAATTGTTAAAGAACAAATTTTACGGAAAATTTGTTTTGTACATTCAAAAATTGGCCTTAGATAAAGTATTACAATGTTTTACAAATAAATTTCTAGACTTCTTCGATAATTTTTTTTTACAAGGACTCAAAATAAGGTCTAATTCACAATTCTCCCTCTCAAGATGAACAAAAGATATCCACTAAGCCCATTTTGTCACATAACACAAAATAAGGTCTAATTCACAACTCTCCCTCTCAAGATGAACAAAAGTTCATATCCACTAAGCCCATTTTGTCACATAACCTAGACAAATCTATTGAACTAAGTTTTTTAGTGAGGTAGTCAACCACTTCCTTCCAATGGCTAAATGCCTTCGACCGAAATACATGACTTAGCTCGAATAGCCCATTATTCAACTTTTCCTTGATGAAGAATCTATCAATCTCCACATGTTTTGTTCGATCGTGTTGCATCGGGTGTTGGCAGTGCTGATTGCTGACTTATCGTCACACAACTTCATTTGGGTTCCTCGGTCCACCTTGAGCTCGACCAACAAGGCTTTCAGCCACATCATCTCGACAACTCCTAAGGCCATGGCCCTGTACTCGGCCTCTGTTGTTGACCTTGCTACTATAGTGTATTTCTTGCTCTTCCAAGGGACCAAGTTTCCCCCTACGAACATGCACTATCTTATGGTGGATCATCTGTCATTTGCACAACTTGCCCAGTTAGCTTCACAAAAGGACTCAATGTTTACATGCCTATTCTTTCTGAAGATTAACTCCTTCCCTGGTACACTCTTCAGGTATCTCAGAATCTGATACACTGCATCTATATGACCCTTCCTTGGAGCATGCATGTAATGGTACTCCACGCTCACTGCAAAAGAGATGTCGGGTCAAGTGTGACACAAATAGATCACATGACCCACCAATCTCTGGTATCTCTCACGATCAACTAGTTCTCCTACCTTAGCACTAAGCTTAACTTTTTGGTCAATTGGAGAGACTGCAGGCTTTGCATCCCAATATGCTAATTTTGTTGAAGAGATCTAGTACATATTTTTTTTGGGACAAACCATTCCATCAGGTCCACGTGTCACTTCAATCCCAAGAAAGTATATGAGCTGTCGAAGATTATTCACATCAAATTCATTGCCCGATCTTACCTTTAGTTGGAGAATCTCTGCCTCACCATCACTAGTGACAATGATGTCATCAACATACATAATAAGTATAGTGGTGTCATCTTTATATTGTCGAAAGAGCATCGTATGGTCTGTATTAATCTGTTGATGTCTCATGCCCACCATAACATTTCTTGACTGGTCAAATCAGGCTCGAGGAGACTTCTTCAAGCCATACAATAACTTCCTGAGCTTACACACCTTGCCCACTATCTGAACTGTACTGAATCCTGACGATATCTCAAAATATTCATCCAATAATTCACTATGAAAAAATGTCTGCACACCTTATCCTCACCGTGCTAATCTTCACTATTGCTGCAAATTTTTCATCATAGTCAATGTCATATGTTTGACTGCACTCTTTCGTCACTAGTCATGCTTTGTACTGCCCCACTTTCTCTTCTGGAGTTTGCTGCACTGTAAAGCTCCATTTCAACCAACATCATTTTCCCCGTTGGTAGTGGTACTATCTCCCATGTTTGGTTTTAATTGAGAGCCCTAAGCTCTTTATGCATAGTCGCTTTCCACTTGGGATGCTCCTTAGCAACCTACCAACATTTGGGTTTAGAGACCGTCCAAAGTGCAATCAATGTTCAATGTAAATGTGATATGTTAGAATATGAAATATAGTTAGCAATGTCATGTTCCCACTTAAAATGATTTGGAGTATGTCCCATATTGTTGCGAGAGGTCCTCCTTAAAGTTGAGGGGTTTGAAGAAGATGAAAAATGAATCATATCACCTGAGAGTTATGAGTTGGAGGTGGATGGTGCAAGTGTCTCAAGAGTCGGGGAAGACCGAGACAAGAGATTAGCTGTCACAAGTGACATTGTAGACACAGTTCCTTCATTTTGCTTCATTCTCCATGTATACACCCTTAGCTCCCCTTCAACCTAAATACCACCACATCTGGGTTCACTTTCCTCATTTTTTCATTTTCTCAATTGATTCATCCCATATCACAGGACAGGACATTGCTCCCATGTGTACCACTCTCTCACCAATGCCACTCACTGCCTGCCTCATATCTTCAGTATCCGACGAGTCACCGAAGGGTGAGGTCAACTTCTAGGTGTAGTACGATTCAAATTCTCTAAATGACATATCCATGCTCATAAACAGTCTATCGGGCCCCAGCTGACATACCCCTTATGGGTAGCAGAATAACCTATGAACACACATTTTATAGCTCTGGGATCCAACTTCCCTACTAATGGTTTGTTATCCTTCACAAAACATACACATTCAATTACCTTCAATGAGATAATCCCATTATTATCTCTTTTCAATATATGACAACGAAACTTTCAATCCGACATCGTGTAGGGTTGATCAATTGAGTAGTTGCAAAACTGCTTGCCCTCATAAGTGCTTTGGGACATTCATTGTGATTATCATGCTTCAGAATACTTCTAGAAGGTGTTTATTCTTTCTCTCTATTACTCCATTTTGTGCCGATGTGTTTGAATATGTGGTTTGGTGTTGCATCCCTTAAACTCATAAGTATTTCCCAAATATTTTGTTGGTATCCTCTGTCCCGTTATTAGATCCCAATATCTTCACTAATGCATCATATTGAGCCTGATTTGCCTTGTGGAACTCTTTAAAGCAAACAAACACATCACCCTTATTTTTCATCAAATATAATCAATTAACACGAGAAAAACAATCAATAATAGTCACAAAATATTGATAACAATTAGTACAACTTGTAAAACAAGGTCCCCAAACATGAGAATGTATCAAGTCAAAAACCCCAGAATTCTTATCATAGAATTGATATAAGAGCTCCTAGTAAGCTTTCCAAACTCACAAGCATCACAAACAAGCTTTTATTTATTTTCCTTTTCATATAACGAAGGATATAACCGACTCAATAAACTAAAACAATAGTGTCCCATGCATCTGTGATTGTAACAGCAATACATCCTTCACACTTCTTTTAGATTCTCCTACTCCGTTGTTTACCATGAATGTCAAAGCCGAATCCATCCCCTCTCAATTCAAGTACTAGTCAACTATGCCACGTTTCAGTCCCCAAGTGTCCGACCCGTTCCCTTTCTCTTGGAAGATCACTTTAGTAAAATTAAATGATACAATATTTAGTTGGAGAATAATGACACGAATGGATTAAAAGGTTCACTGGAAAAAAACATACAAATATTGGATAAAGTCATATAAGTGGTACCCCTCACTATACCCTTACCAACTATAGGTTGTATTGTGCCATCAGCAGTTCAGATGCTCTCTGATACTGCTAGGGAAATATAGCAAGAAAATTCTCCAACAACAACTATTACATGTTGAGATGCACCAAAATCTATTATCCATTATGATGATCCTTTGGTGGAAATAAAAACAAAAGCATATGTATCACAAATATCTTTGTCAGAGCGAGCATAAATGTTAATATTATCTTGTTGCTTTTTGCTTCTTCTTCAAAAACTCCAAACATTCATGACCCTCATTGGTAAAAATCACACGCCTCTCTCCTTTTCTACCATCATATTTTCCCAGTAGTCTCATTTTC